CTATAAGGCCCTGACCCAGAACGAGACGGTGCCCAGCCGCTTCTCAGTCGGCTGCTTGGGTGGCTCTCACGTCAACCTCAACTTGACGGCTTTATACCCAGAAGACTCCGCAATGTATCTCTGCGCCAGCAGCCAAGACACAGCCCTGCAGAGTCACTGCCTTCCTGTACACAAACCTGGAGGTCCAGCCACGTTTGCTTTGGTGGCAAATGTGGGCTCCGTTGAACATTTCCTGCAGAGCCTCATAGACAAGCCGTTTCGCAAACCGTTGATACCAGCTGCTGTCCCCCGCCGATGTGGTGCATTTGTCTCTGCACGCATTTAGAGTGTAGGGTTTCTTTCCCCTGTATGTGACTCTGCTCTGTGAACTGATGAAAATACCTTATTTTTAAATAAAAATGGAAATACAAATACCTTTAAATCTAGTTTCTCTCAGTGCCTTTCTAATTGTGAAATAAACAAGCCTGTTATAACTAGATCCTTTGGTTTAAGAGTCCACAGTGATTTTCTTTCACCCCCGCGGTCATATCCTCCAAAAGTCCTTAAAGGGTTTCATGTACACTTCAGAACCTGACACTTTTGAGCCTCTTTTTCCCAGGAATCAAGGAGTGTGGTCACCCACATCGGGGCAGCACTGAACTTGGGGTCTCAGAGAAGGGACTTTCAGGCAAGGGTCCCAGGCTGATGGAGGAGGCTGCAGAGGACAGCAGGAAATTTGCCTTTGGGGAAATGGATTGAGAATGTGTACTGTTCTGTCTTCACCAGTTCTGTTATTCCATACGCTGGCTTTGCTGTTCTCTAGTTTCTCTCTTTTTTCTCCACGTTAAGCCAGACCCCAATCCTTGCCCTGATGGAAGTGCCACATCTGTACAGAGGCAGAGAACATGGCTCTGCATGCCCCACCCATTCATTCTTTCTCCATCCCTTATCCTGAAATGTCTCTGTTGACTTCAGGTCTCAGGTCCTCCCTGGGCTGCCTCTCCACACTGAGTCTTGGGGGTCATCTACACACTTTTGTTTCCATGTTCTCCAAATTTTAAATCACCAGGCCCTGCGAATTTCTGCAATAAGAAACTCTCTCATTGGCCATTAGAGCAGAGTGGTCCCCACTAGTGCATTCAGCTCTTACACACTAGCTTGCTCTCCTGAGCCCTGCGACACTGGGAGCCTCTCCCACTGGCGCTGTATATCACCAGCTGCATACTGCAGGACACTCTGTCCAGCCTCTGGGCGTCTCCTGCCCACGTGGCATGCAGATTCCTGTTCCCGTGATGCACCCTTGAGTCTGCGGGTGTGGCACTGGCTGTGACATCACCAGATCTTTTCCTTTGCCTTGTCAGTAGTCAGAGTTCCAGGTGGGACAGGCCTGAGACTGTGAGACCCTACCATGAATGCTGTCCTCCCCTGCTGTGTAATCTTTGGTCTCCTGGGGGCAGGTGAGTCCTGGGAAAGTATTTCTTATCCTGCCTTTCCCCAAGACCTTTTCCAAATTCTCACCTCATTCTTTTTGGCTGTCTGTCTCCTCCACAGGACACATGGAACCTGGGGTCAGGCAATCTCCCAGCCACAAGGTGACAGAGATGGGACAGAATGTGACTTTCAGGTGTGACCCCATTTCTGGTCAACAGTACATCTACTGGTATCGGCAGACTGCAGAGAATGGGATAGAGTTTATGGTTTATCTTTATGACAAAGACCCTATGGAAAAGGCAGACTTCTTCAAGGACAGATTCTCAGCAGAGGTGCCCAAAGGATCATACTCCATTCTAAAGATCTGGCCCGTGCAGCTGGGAGACTCAGCCGTGTACCTCTGTGCCAGCAGTCAGGCACAGCCTCACACAGACATTTCCTGTTCCTACATAAACTCAGCATGTTCCCCTCTTCCCAGGCTTGAAGAAGCTCTTCCTTCCTAGGGAGGTGGGGGTGTGTGACTCGGTCAGTGGCGGCTTCCAGTAGTGGCAGAAAATTAATCCTATTCACCAGAATAATCAATGGAAACAAGGATAACTCAGGCAAGGGTTCTTGGGAAATGCTCAAAGAATGTGGCTGTGGACCCAAGGATGTGACATATATGGCTCTTGCAGGGACCTGGTGTGGCTATATTGGAACCCTACATCATATCTGGGACTCTCATTATGGTGATTTGTTTTTTTTTTTAGCAGAACATGTCTTTCATTTTTGATGGAAGCAGGCCTTGTAAGGGGAAGGGCTTTCAAGAGGCTGATTAAGATCTTCAGCCTTCCAGAAGATGGTGAATCTGAGCACCACATGAAGGTGGGAAGGGAAGAAGGCTCTGGAAAAGTAAAGAGCAGAAGCAAAGCCCCTGGGACTCTGCCCCCAGGACAGGGAGGGAGGCTCCTTCAGGGGTGCCGGTTGCCTGTGTGAGTATGAACTCACACTGTAGGTGCAGGCTGGCAAGAGGGTCAGAGCCAGAAGCGCTGTGTGGAAACAACTCTGACCACTTAGGCTGGGGCCCCTGAGCACTTGGCAAGGGGTGCTGCAGGAATTGCTTTAGGAACAAAGCTCTCCTTTTCCTAATAATGAAGCAAGTGAATCTCAAGTACTGAGAAAAACAGGAAATTCTGTGCTAGGCTAGTTGAGTACATCCGTTTGTTACGTACCTATTTATCCATCCATTAATTCACTCACTTATTCTACAGATAAAGATCTATCACCCCAAGGTATTGAAAGTACGCCTGTGTCTATGTAGGAACACCATGGGACACAGGAGAAAAAAGTCATGGGGCCATGGACAGTGCAGGGGCCAGTGTGATGCAGTCAAACTCTTTCCTTTGAGTACAAAGTCACCAGCTTTTCTGCCAAGTGTTGCCACCAGGACAGAAGGAAAATTAGTCTCATATTTTACAGTATAATTTTTATAATTATAATATTTATAATTCAAAGTGGGAAACTGCTGAAGGTGAAGGGGGTGCTGTTAATTACATGGGCAACAGACACAAAGTGGGGCATGTTTAGCCTATGTATGACCCAGCCCTGGAGCCCTAAGTCTTCCCCTCTTGGTCTTGGGTGGGGAGAAGCTTCAGTTATGCCTTGACTTCGATGCTAGCTGACTGCAGGTTGCTGCATAGTGGGCCCTTTTTCCTTCTGAATGCAGGGCCGCCCGAGCACACCCAGGATGCTCCTGACCTGGCCTTGGGAGGCTGTGCTGTAAGTGTCTTGCTAATCTTCCTCCTGGATTTTCTTTATGATCTCTTAGCAGGCTGGTTGGAACCAGCTGCAAAGGACAATAGAAGGAGGCCACATGCTGGGCTCAGTCTCTAGCGTCTGTCACCTTCCCTACAGAAGACCTGTCAGTCCCACCCACCCACCCACCCACGTAGGCAGAGCAGCAGGTTCACCACAAGAGCATAGGTTCCTCTCTACCCAGACATCACAGTGGCAAGAGCGGGGCATTGAAGTTGTATCCCAGGCCCCTCCAGCAGGCAGGTGACCTCAGCCCCACCCTGTCTCTCTTCCAACCTTGCCTTCCACTGGCTTTGCCTATGGGAGAGAAAGGGCCTCACTCTACTTTGCATGGGAAAGAAACACTAATTTCATTTCAGTGCATGCCCTTCCAGCCCTTCTTGTTGCACCACAGTTAGGCTTTCTTTTGTGTTCTGGTTGTAATCGCACCTCCTTGCATTGACCAGTTCCGTTTTCTCTCACCAGGGTGCCTTCTCCTGTAGTACTCCTCAGGTGCTGGCCAATATTAGCCTTAATTCTATTTTAGGTGCTGTGTAAATGACTCCATCTACCTTGCAGTGTTAGAAAAATTGAACATTATTTACATAAAGTGTCAAGTACATGCCAAATATTCCATAAATGTTAAGCTTTCTGATTATAATTTCTCACAATATACTTTCTGCAGGCAGTTATCTTTTTTTAAAATGTATTTTGTTGTTGCAGGTTCTTGCCATGTAGCTCAGACTTGTGGAGTTCTTCCTGTTTTCAGCCACCCCAGCACTGGGATGACAGGCGTGCACCACTACTCTCGGGCTCTATGGCCTGCTCAGCACACCCTGGGGGCAGGGCTGGGACAGCATGCGGAACCAAGCACTTTAGTCTGATGAGCTATCTCACCTATCTCACCGGTCCCTGCAGGGAGTTATCTTTGCTCTGAGTAGATTACAGTTTAGGAGGCTGAAGGCTCAATAATGCCAATGGATTTTTGTGATGTTGCATTAAAAAGTAGTCATGTTGGGTCGGCCAAATAGCTCAGCGGATTAAAGCATCAGCTTAGGCAGATGCAGGGGCTGGGGGTTCGATCCCCAGACCTGCTGTGCCTGCCTCACCTCCAGGGTGCACTGAAATGGTGATTGAGACTGGGTGTGGTGGCTCCCAACTATAATCCCAGCTCTTGGGAGTCTGTAAACAAGAGGATCACTATGAGTTCAATTTAGTAGTGAGATCCTGAACACTCTGTAGACCCTCCCTTACCCTAAAATACAAATAAATAAATAAATAAATAAATAATAAATAAATAAATAAATAAAAGTAATCATGTTTGCTAGAGGGTAAGCCAAAATAAATAGGGAACATCCACTACAAAAGCTAGTTTTCGGGGGCTGGTGAGATGGCTCAGTGGTCTAAAGCACCTACTTAGAACAAGCTTTGCAAAGCCCAGGGACTGTGGTTCAATCCCCCGGCCCCCCTTGCAGCCAGCCCCGCCCCCTGGTGGGCTGAGCTGGCCACACACACACACACACACAAATAAATAAATAAAATTAAAAAAAAAAAAAAGCTAGTTTTCTACTGAGCCAGGGAGCATCTCATTAAGAGAAAAGTTTGTTGAACAGCAGTGAACTGGCCTCCTATCTGCAGCTCTCATGGAAGCACTGGCTGCATCCTTAACCTTGTGTTGGGGGAGAGAATTACAAACAAAATCTCCCTCAAATGCAGCAAATCTCTCTATAAAGTTAGAAAATAATCAAAACAGTTGAATGATTGAATAAACATGAACTAGAACTATGAGGAGAATTGCAGACAATGTGCTAAGAAACTGCAAAGGGAAACAAAATCCCACCCTTTTGTTGAGGCAGCCGCGGCTCCTTACATCTGTGCTGTCAGCAGGACCAACAAGTCCTCAACTAAGGTGACCTAACAGCACCTCTAGTCATGCAAACCATAGTTCCTTTGACGTGTACTTGGTAATTGCAATGATTGCCTGCAAGGAATACAAACCCCTCCTTAAAAATGGAGGTGGTTTTCCAGCATGCAGCAAAGTATGTACTCTAAAATAAGTTAGGTTTCTACCTTTGGGTCTTGGCTAGGATTAGCTCCTACCTAAGTCAAGGTAGCTTCCTTTCTAAGTTAATCAAAGTAAGCCCCTAAGTTAGGCTATCACCCTCTTATAAACACTGGGAGATGGAGTCCTGTCTTGTTTGCTGATTACAATCAAAAGAAATGATTTATTTGCATGTCCTTGATAGAGCTATCCTTACACCATAAAGCTGACAAGACAGTTATCTAGCCTATAAAAAGCTATACACGCATTTCAGGAAGACAAAAGAGAATCTGCAATTGTAAGATCACTAAAGCAGATAAAAGAAACAGATGAAGGAAGTCCCTTCCTCTACCTCCAGATAGTTAAACCACTCACTTTTATTGTATCTGCCCTTACAGTGATGGGGGATGAACTGATATTTTAAAGCCTCTGGATACAGCTACCCTGATGGAGTGGGGGAGGGATGGAGGGAAAAGAGCACTAAGCGCAGGGGCGCTGATGGGAGAATACTGTGCAGTTGCTCTAAAAGTTGGCCTGGAGCAAAAGCTCCTTCCCTTTTCCCTGGAGTACCAGCAAGGGCTGAGCACATGGACAGGGTCCTGCTTCCAAGGAGGGAAGAAACCAGAACCCTGGCTGTGGATTCCATGGTGTGGCAACTGTCACCCCCCACTACACCCTTCCCCAAGTCCCATTCTAGCAGCAGCAGACAGGCTGGTTTCCCAGGCAGCTGAGAAACAAGACAAGTCCCAGGGGCAGCTCCAGCCAGCAGAGGATGAGAGCCAAGAGTCACCCAACGCTGAGCTCGGTCTGAAGGGTGAGGTGATTCAGGAGCGGAGGAAACCCTCTGCTCTCAGGAGTGTAAGGGACTCATGGCTCGCACAAGGCTGGACTTCTGGAGAATGTTGGTGTGTGAGGGTCAACAGTGGCTGTAATTTAGATATCTGTGAAAACTGAATCTTGTTTTGTAACAAGAGTGTAGCGAATACCTGATAGCTTGCAGGGGACCTTCCAAAGTAATTTTAGAGCACTATATAGAATGGATAAAATATTAATCGTTAACTTTACTTTGTGGTTAAGACTTTATTACATACAATAAAGTGCATAACACTATTCTATTCAATTATTTACATTTTGACAAATGAGGATGCTTCAATAATACCACCCCAACCAAGACATAGTTATAACACCTCTTGGATTCTACTACCTTCGAATCTATAACCATTGCATATATTTTGTTAAATATATCTTTTGGTAGTTTCACATTTCAGATGCTACAGTTTATAATGCCCTTTCAACTTCAAGTTCCGTCCTTATCAGGCCCACCTAGAAACATACTCATCTAGTTTCCCAAAGCTTGGTAGGCCTATTTATCCCTTTCTGTGGGTGTGCATCATACATGCCTTAGAAGTTTCTACGTGCATGACGGTGTCATAGGTGTACAGACATTACTATCTTCCTCTGCTGTGTGCAAGATTTTAATTTCTTTTCTTTCCTTATTGTACTGGCTAGAGTCTTGCCAACAGTGCTTAATTAAAGTGACTCAT